TACCTTCATAGAAACAATCCTCTTTTCTTTTTAGATTCCTTCCTGTTCATCCAGTGAAGAATGAATAAACCCAAAAAACTAATTGCTTTTTCTAAATGCAAAAACAGAGCATTTTTATTTACCAAAAGTTTAAAAGCATATTAAACAGCAACTCCACAAACTCAATTATGGAGCTTTAAAAGAAATCCTAACAAAACCATATCTTCAGCACAAATGTTGGAGATGTTGGAGATTGATTATTTGACTGAAGGTGCAAGGAGTTCAATCTACAGTGAGAAAAGTCTTGAAACAAGCGCGAGCCACGTGTTAAAAGTAGCAATCACGTTGCAAAGATGACTAGCAGAGAAATAGCAGCTTTTAGTGGGGAGCTGTACTTTGTTGATTGCAGCTTTACAAAAAATTCTGTTTCCCTTGCCAAGTAACTTTGTTTTATCATTGCCTTTTGCTAAGTCTTAAAAGGAAAAATGAATCTGATATGCTGAGGAGTGCTGGGTACTCCTGTTCTGGTGCTTTAGAAGTGATGCATTTCTATCTCACTGTGTTAAAGAAAAAATATACACCTATTTATTCCATCAAAAGCAAAAACAATGCCTCTGAACTGCATTTTCACTTACTCAAAAAACGAAACAAACAAAAAAAAGAAAAAACCTAGATGCCATTTTTATCATTATCTTGGTTATTTTGTTTAAGGGCAATTTGTTCAATGTCAGATGAAACTGTGAAAAGGAAACCTAATGAAGACAAACTTTTTCAGATCTTTAACAAAAGGAGGCCCAGTGCCAAATAATGACCCTTCTCCCCTGCATGTTAGTCTGGCATTCAGACTTGAGAGAGGCTGATTGCTTTGTTCCAAGCTAGTAAGATTGTCACAGAGAGGCCAGCATGTTCAGCTGCTGTCAAACTGATGAAAACGACTGCATGCCCAGAAGGGTTTTTGTGTCTCTACATTCTTAGTGTTTGCCTCAGATAATTTAGTATTTTTGTAGACCTTCTTTTTTAACCTGTAGCTGTTGAGACGCTAGTAATCTGCTTTCACCATACCTAATGAAAGCAATTATTATACATTACAGTTTTTGCTTTTCAGTAATTTTAAGGGTTTTCTCCAAGTCAGAGCAGTTTTTCAGCATCACATAAGGTCTTAAACACAGCTTAAAAATCTATTTTGATTTGAACTTCTTTCGTATGAGGCCCTTTCATTGTGCTTCTATACAAAACATTTTTTTCTATACAAAAAAATCCAACTTATTGAAAAGTCTTAGGATAATGCATCTGCTATGTCAGCCATGTTTGATAATTTAATATTAGAGATTAGGGTTTAATGTAGTGTATGTCGGAGTGCCATGCAAAAATTTTCAGACCATTTAGACTTTTAAAAATTACATGATAACTACAAACTTAAATAGATTTTATTTGGATTTAAACCAACATTAAGCACAGGTTTGAAGAAAAATAATAATTGTACAATTAGGCAGCTGGTTCCCTTCAGAAGTCACCTAATAAATAAACAAAGTTTATACATGTGTAATTTAATTTAAGAATGAGTGCAGGTGTTCTGTGAAGGCCTCAGGGGTTTGTTAGAGACCATTAGTGTACAAAAAACATCGTAAATCCTGGAAAGACAGAACTTGTGGGGAGGTTTATTGCAGTGTTAGGTTGTAAAACATTCTTCCAAGATGTTCAAAACAAATGCAAGTGGAAAAAGTATGATACAGCTACAAACCTAACGAAAGTCTGTGGTAAATCAGGAGGAGCTGTAGCGATAGTAGCAAATCATATCTTAGAATGGCCTACTCAAAGTCAAAATCTAGACCTGCCAAAGTCTATATTAATTTAGAATCTTTGCTAAGATTGACAAGTTCACAGGCACTCTAGACTGTTGGGGTGAATGAATTTTGTCAAAAAAAAAAAAGAGGTATCAAATTTCAGTGTCTACACGTGCAAAGCTATCAGAGACATCAAAATACTTGTGGCTGTAAGTGGGAATTCCCCTCTAGTTACACATGCACACAGAACTTTTCAGATTTTTAAAGTGAAAAAAAATGCTTCTGTTAAATTCAGCTGTTAAAGTCTCTGGTTGTAATGTGACAAATTGCTGAAAAAGAGTTCAAGGGGTCTGAAGACTTTTTCAAGGAATTATTTATTGTAGAACTAGTCGCATTTTTTCTCCACCCTTTTCAATAGGTGAAATTTTAAAATAATAATAATAAAAAAACACATATTTTCTTGAAATTGTGAGTCATTATGTTTTTCCTACAGTAACTTATATTCTAAAGAGTTTTATAGCACTTTTGGCTTTAAATCACATGGTACCACGCAATGTCAATACAGTTTCTTAATAATCTTAGGTACATCGGCGGACATGAGCAACTGTACTGCCATCTAGTGATACCACACCTAATTAGTCCCTGAAAAGAACATAAAGTGATGATCCAGTGAACATTAACGTGACCAATAAGAGTCTAATCATTACTTCACTTGTATACCATTTAAGTTGTTATTTAATTTCTAATTACTGTAAATGAGCACATTAGAACTGTTCTGTTTATTTTCTTTCCATTACATGTAAATGAGAGCCACAGGGCAATGAATAAACTCACAGAGGAGTAAACTGTTTTTCTGGCCTGAGGAAAGTTCACAGATCCCTCGTACACTGATTGCTAACTTTAACCTCTGCGTTCACAGCTGCACTGTTTACTTTAGTTTCTGGATGCAGTCAATGGTCTGCAGGAAGCATTGGTCCAAAACGAGGGAATACCTCTGAGGAGAACGATGGAGAAAGGAGTCATTCAAAGCTGGAATGACAAATAGCCGAGGCTGTTTACGTACGCTGTGTTTACATAAGTTTGTGTTTGGTTTGGTGGCTTATTGGGCATTTTGGAATAAATCTCCACCTTTCTGCGTAATACAGCTACATAAAACAAGAATAAAATTGTTTGCCAAAGTGTAATTTATTTGAAGGTGATGACACTCCGAAATAACTGAAGTCAAGAGCAGACGCATTAAGCTGTGAAATTAGCTTACCTGAAATTCCACTATAACCTCAGTAGTAAACAGTAGGAAGCTTCATAAAAAAAAAAAGCTTACTGAAATATTGGAAGTGCTTGACTTGTTCCTATCAGTTAGTATTTACACATACACATGGTGTGCTCAAAAACATTTAACATCTTTCAGGAATCACATGGAACAAGGGACAAAAAACACAATTTACTCCATGGTACGAATCATGTTGTGTAATTTATGCCAAATCAATTCAGATCCCATTGTCACTAACCTGCTCATGCACTGCCACCAACTCACTGTCACCTAAAAAGGTTTCTCACCCTTCATCTGGGAGGTGCTCAACACAAGATGTTTTTTGTTACTGTGAGCATAAAGGCTGTCTTCATCATGTCCAAACTCTGATATTTTTGTCTTGTGGCTCTTTCTCACCAGGTCCAAATGGGACCTGCCAATCTCCCACAGGGTGCTGGAAGACATAGTGCGGTATTTGAATCAGCACACTAAGTCAGCCATGGTTTTAAATTAAGCGTGATGTGGAGAGGATGGAGACGACAGGCGGGGCAGGTTTTTTTTTTTTATTCTGAAACACCTTTAGATACATTAAAATAACTCATATGTACGTATGTATGTAAACGCTACACCCATCAGCAGAACTGAGACAACGTTTGGATTGAAAGTCTTAGTCTTTCTAAAGATTTTATTCCAGACATAATTAGTAGTTTTTCATTAACGTTTTTGCTCATTTCTAAAGTACAACATCTGCTTAAGGTGGAAAGAGCAGACAAAAGCAAAGCAAGAAGGTATGAAAAATAGGAAAATGGAGAAAATGATGGTGAATGAGGCAAATAACTAAGGATAAATTCCCTACTTTTTTCAAATGCTTTCCAAGATGTCTTGGATCACTGATCAGACTTTATTCTGTAAATGTGTGATATGCTCTGGGAAATGAATTACAGTCAGTTTGTGTAGCTTTAGTTTGCATTCACTTCTAACCACAATTCCCACACATCTGGTTTCAAGTCAGAAATAATTAGTGTGGATATTTAACAGGAATATCAACTTTAGGAGGAACCTAACAGAGGTTTATGCAATCTTGACAGAAATTTTTCTCTTTTATTCGCAACCATTCACAGCCAAAATGAGTAAAAACAGGAAGAAAATACAGGTAACCCATTTAAAAAATTATTTAACAAAAACTTAGTTTGTTTCAAAAAATAAAATTGATTTGTCTAAAACATAAAAAAACTTACAAGGATATATATTTCTACAAAATAAAAGTGTCAATTTACATTTATGAAATGACTATCGGAGACAACATGACACGAGGGGGAAAATAGATTAAGGTCAAGCCATTCGCAAATCAGCAGGAACAACTGTCTGCTCCTATCAAAGTTAAGCAGGAAGCTGTTCCACAAAAGTTCTTCCATAGTCCTTAACCTTAAGTCACCTGGTCTGCATTGCAAATCATTCAAACTGAAGTGAGAGTAAGATATCTCCATGATTTGTGTGTGTGTGTTTGCGAATGCGTGTGCATGTGTGTGGCTCAGGAGGAGAACTTGTTTCCTGCAGGCTGTGGTTTGTCACATGTGACAAGAGAAGGTAGGGCTGAGCAGCAAGAGAGCTTGAGCAGGGAGCAGCCAGTTCTCCTGGTTAGTGTCTTGACAGTGCTGTCACAGAGCCTCCAGGAAAGAAAAAAAAACCAAAAAAAAAACACGCTCGACTTGTCTCATCACGTCACCATAGAGCTGTACGCCGTGATGGAGAGTGCTCTTTTGGGATGCCTTAAGAGACTGCGTTTCCTCCAGCTGAATGACCAGACAGGAGACAGCGAACAAGAGCAACATAAACAACCAAATGATGATGGGCAGAAGCTAGCCCTGTGCATGGGAGTTGAGGCTGTTGCCTCAACACATCACTAAATTTGCTGTGTGGTTAAGTTTTCATGCGATGGAGAGCAGATAAACTGTCATGTTTAAAATCAGGAGCAGCTCACAACATAATAAGATTGCAAGGTAAAATTTATTCACATTCCAGAGTTTGATTTGTCTGTTTTTTTTCTGCCTTGTAGCTCTTGCCCTATTTCTCCTGAGGAACAGTAATGACAGCATTGAGTGAGACAGACAAGGTTGAGTTGAACAAAGGTATGCTAGAAAACCCTTGGAACCCCTGGAGTTGAACCCTGGGAAAACGTTTTTTTAGCAGAATGCCCACCTGGTCATACTGGCCCTTATCTTTCCCGTGCTCGACGCAGAGTCCTTTACTCTGTTCACGCCCTTTCTAACTGCTGCTCCAGCATCAACGTTTTGCGTCGCTCCTCTTGGTACTTCTTCTCTGCCTCCAAACACATTTGTTTCATGTCTTTCTCTCTGGTAGATAAACATTTTTTGTCTTAGATAAAAGAATTAAATCATTTCTTAATACACACACTTCATGGCTTTTTCTTTGGACATCTAAAGCAACAATAAAATGATTGGACAGTGATTCTGTCTATCATTTTCTATCATTATTAAACCTTAGACCATGGATTTACTGTTACAACCTAAAAGATGTAAAAATGACCCATAACATTCTTGTGAATAGATGTTTGAATGGATCTCAGCCAAAATTTGGATTAAAATCAATAAAAAATCAAGAGTTGAGTTCAGATTTGGTTGTTTGTTATAGAAGATTGTTCTATCCATGTCAATGATGTAGGAGAGTATTTCAATGGAAATGAGAAAAACTAACTTTACTGAGTTCCAGGATATTTAACTGAAATCAGTTAAATATACTGATTTCAGTATATTTAAAGTTTTCTGGCAAGCAGAAACATTTGTAGAGTGTGCATTACTTGATCTGTAGAAGCCTAACCAGCTCCAGGAGGCGGTCCTTCTCCACGCTGAGGACTTTATACGCACTGCTCTGGGTGATCAGTGCACTCACATCCGCAGAACAACCCGGACACTTTGAATGACTTCTGAGAACATCAGACACAATCAAACAGTTCATAGTTTTAATTTATTTAACATTGGTGCAATAATAACTGACATTTAAAAATAAGAAAAATCATATACATATACAGCTTACTTACTTGAATTCCATCTCACCTCCCACAGATGCAATTACCAATTTATGGCCTAATTTAGAGACTGAACTGAAACAGATAAAAATATGACAAATCATAAAATGTTTTACTCTTCTTGCTTCTTCTGTCATTGACCTCGAGTCAGTTATTAGTTATTCTTTGTAAAACAAGTGAGCTTAGTTCCTAGTGGAGATTACCAAATCATGCACTTTATACCACAAAACCAAATTTATTATGTTTCAGAGAGTAGTTTTTATGTTTCTCTTAATAAATGAATAAATTGACAATAAAAAGAATCAAATAATTCAGATATGTCTGAAAACATACTCTGCTGGAATTCTTGTGACACTGTCTCCATCTTCAGGGTCGATTCCTGAACTGCAGCTTTTTATTTTAGGGCTTAATTGTCTGTCCACACTCTCTTCCTTCAGTTGCTGTAAAAACAGATTTTTTTTACAGTGGTTGCTACAACACTAAATATTTCTGCTATTTTTTACCTTGTTGGAAAGTTGTTGCCTTTCCCGCAGCTCTTTTATTGTAGCGTCTTTCTCTGCTACCAGGAGCTTCAGTTTCTGGATGAGGCATTTGTTCTCTGGGGGCCCACTGTCCAGCTGTTGTCTTGGGCTGTGTTTGTGGCTCTTGATCTGTGTGCTCTGCTGTTGGCCGAGTTGCTTCAGCGCTGCCTGCATCTGGCTCTGCTGTTTCTGCCAGGGGTTAACAAAACAAGGTTATGGGAAAGGAAGGACCCAGAATATTTCTCTTTCCCACTTTTATCTTATCTAAAGGCTTACCAGCAGGGCATCCACAAGCCCAGTGTCATGTTTCCCCTTCTCTAATAAGGAGGAAATCTGCATTTTCAGAGTTTTGATTTCCTCTGATTGAGTTCTGCTCCTAGCTTTAGAGGCTTCAAGCTTTTTCTTCACATCCTCATGTTCTTTCAAGAGCCCCTCGTGATCAGCTGAGATCCTCTACAAATTTACCAAATGCATTAAGCAAAAGAATATTAGTGCCTTCATGTATCATTTCGTTTTTAAACTGAGTTATTGTTTAAATACCTCAAATGCCTCCCTCTTTTCCTTCTCTCTGGTACGGATGTAGTTGAGGTTTCTATTTTGGGCAGAGGGTTTATGATGGGCCGCAGTACCAGACAAATCCTGCTCCACACTCTGAACATCTGCCTGTCTTTGCTGGCACAGCTGCTGCTCTAGCTCCCGCACCTGTTGTATGAATTCAGCATTTTCTGTGACATAACTTTCAAGTGCATCAAACTGTTCTTTTTGATAGAGATGCACATGCACAATCATAATCCTGAAAACCAACCAACTTCTTGAAATAAGTTTTCATAATGAATGATGGACATTATAACGGACATTCGGTCACCATCTATGTTTTCCAGCTTACTCTTGTTTGAAGAGCAAGAATCTGCTGCGACCGGCCTCTAAAGCTCCCAGGGTTGTTGAGCATCTGCTGAAGGTTGATCTCTTCTCCAACTTCACTCAATAAAACCTGCAATAGTTCATCATTTTAAGAGTAGACATAGACAGAATTTATCATCACTAAAAGGCACATTTAAAATGTACATAATGAGCAAAAATTTGTTGTAAGCTTCCAAAAATAAAATAAATACATAATAATGAAAAGTGTCATCATAAATATATAGAATAAAAATAGATTAGTGAACATGTCATTAAAAATACATCATGTTGATGAGGTATGAAGTAAATAAAGTGTACATTATGGACATTATGGTTTACCTTTTTGTTTTGTTTTTAAACTGTGCATTATTTCTGTAGGGCAGTAAGAGGAGTGTGTATTTAACAAGGCAAATTATGCTACTTGAATCAAATAATCTATATACCACTAATGACAATAAATATGGAGGTTGCTGTATCAGTCTTGGCCAGGACATCCTTATAAAATTGGAGACTTCATCTCAAAAATATTATTTCCAGGCCATGTGTCTTAAAAGTTATTTTTATTCGTCTCACTTTTCAAACTTATTTTTGAAATGCAGCTTGTGTGGTAAGAAAATATTCACAGTCCCATTTCTGATAGTCAGAGATTTTAGGGCCTTCAGTTGAAAGGCCCTAAAATTCAATTAAGAAGTCATAAATAAGCATGATTAGAGCTCTGTCAGGTGGAAAAGAAATAATGAGATTACCTTCTGAGCAACCTTCAGCTCCAGTTTTGCAGACTGAACCTGGTTTCGATATTCTGTCACTTTAAGCTGGGCAGCTGCTAATTTTTCTTGCAGAGACTTGACCAGCGGGTTTTCCTGTTGCTCAGAAGAAAAAAATTATGTGATTTAAATAAAATGCTATCACTTCAGGTTTCGAATCAAGAGAATGGCATTACTCAGTTTCTGTTTACCTCATGGTCTTCAGACAAGCTCTTATCCAGGGTTTTTTGTGTGGTTTTCTCTCCAGGTACAACATTCTCCAAAGCACACTGCAGCTAAACAAAATGTTGCTTTTGATGGGTTTTGGCCTGTAATTTCAACTTTCCATCCAATAAGTCAAATAAACAGAGCTTTACCTCTATCTCGAGCTCTTTGATCCTATTGCTGCTTTGCTTGGATCTAGTCTTCTCTTTCTCAATTTCTGCAGTCAGCTCTCTATTCTTCTTGGACAGCTCAACAATCTTGGTGGCAGCTACAGCTCCTGCTAAGCCTGATGAACCTAAAGGGATAATTCACAAGATGATTGTGAAGCCCCATTAACTCTTATATGTAAAATACATCCAACTTGTCTGCTTGTACCTGTTAATGCTAGTCTTTCTTCTTCTCTTTTCTTCTTCAGATGTTTGATCTCAAAGTCCTTTTCACTCAGAAGTTTGAAGAGCCTCCCATTTGCATCTCTGAGCTCTCGAATTTGGTCTAACAGGATCTCATCCTGCTGCTTTGACAGACTTTGAATGACAGATGACACACCATCATCATATAATGACTAGTTATTTATGTACTTGTAAGCTTCCAAAAATAAAGCTGACACAATACCGTTTAATTTGAACCAAGACCAAGTGAAACTACTTACCTTTCTTCAGGACTGTCTTCCTGAACGACTTGCTTCGACAGATTTAAATCATCCTGATTACCTGTCACACTTAAATTATTGGGTTCTTTTTTCTTTTTTCCTTCCAGCTTTCTTTTTTCTTGCTGTTTTTGCAGCTCTTGGAACTGAAGCCGCAAGTCATTCAAACGTTCATCACTCTCCATGATAAACAAGGTAGTGGAAATAAGAAACTACAAAAAGAAGACAAAATTATAGTGTGTTAAAGAATTTAAGATGCTAATAACACCGGCATCTTAAGGTCTGTTGCTTCTACTTCTGTTTTTCATTTGTTCCCACCTTTCAAACACACACTGCCCAAAATCACTTAATGCTAATCGTGAATCTAAAGTTCAAAAGTCCCAATTAAATCTACCCCAGCAGAGCTCCCAAATGGCTTGTTGTCACCTAACCTGCTGTGCATACAATTTACTAAACTATAATTTAGAAGCTAACATTGTGCTAATCTGCGACAAGAAGTGACATGGTAATAAGGTACCTTTTCTTCTTTTAAAATTCGAACAGAAATCTGTAAAGGTTACAGGACATCTAAAACTGTAAAACCGTGATTATAACATACCTGTAATTTATACCAGAGTTAAGATATTTGACTTTTTAACTGCATGTTTTGTTAACTTTGAAAATGAATACGTCGCTCCCTGAAGGTGACGCTATTGTCGCTATAACAACACAAAGATTGTGACTGTGAACGCGATCTCGCGTGAACAGGGAAGTGCGTGTTCTTGTTAAAATACACAATGACAGCGGCCATCTTGCTCAGAGTTTCTGACATCTGTTCTTGTTTATTGACAGGAGAGAACTCAGTTAAATTAATAGAAACTACCGGGACACGATAGTGCATAATGTATGAACCAGCTTGTTAGTTTACATTTTTATCAGTATTATGTCTCTCTGCTGTTTTTTTAGTTTAATTGTATTTATTTTTTTCAACCATCTAAATAATATTGAAATTATTTTTTAGGCTACAAGACCTATTTCAACCACATGGTGGTGCTGGAGACACTAGCGTTTGGGTTTACCGAGTAGTGCTGATTTGAGGTACTGAGACCTCAATTATTTTTAAATGCTATCTTTAATATCTAAGTATTTTCTCTGTGCAACCAGTCATCTTGTATCAGTAATTATAACTACAAAAACTTCTAAAATAATTTTGATTTGCTAATTTTATTTAGCATTTACTCACTCTATGGAAGAAAATCAACAAACAAAAAATAATAAATAATAAAAACAATAAACTTATGTTCTTTATTGTAAAATTAGATCTAAGAAAATTTAGAATTATGACGATAACCATTGATTGTACTTTCTTTTTTGTTGTTGTTGTAAATATTAATGTATGTGATAAACATCAATCTCAAGATTATCGGCCATCACTAAAGATAAGAATCCCCTTCATATTGCAAGAATGTTTTGGACCAAGATTTCATCTTAATTAAATATTAAAACAAATAAAAAAGAAATAAAGTAAATTTAAATCTTAAGTTAATGAGAGGATGAGCTCCTAAATGTGTCCAGTCATGCTGACTCTGCTTCTCCGGTGTTATTGTTGTGAAAACAGGAGGATCGTGACATCCGTGCTGGAGATGGTGAAACTTGATATGCAGCAGCTGTACACGTTGATCCATTTTCTTTACTAAAAGAAACGTAACCTTCACAGCGTGCTGTCAAAGACACAGTGGCACAATGTAAGGATTATGGTGCTATAATCAAAAAGCATCCAGTGCATGTCAAAGAGTAGACCGCCATAGAATAGAGCAGAGATTAGATTGGAAAGATAAAGATAAGACTTTTCTTTTTATCACAAATGACAAACAGAAGATGTCTAAAGCACCAAAACACCACCAGTAAATAAAGACAGTATAAATACAGTTTCCAATAAATAAATAATTTTGCAATAGCTGTTTGTTTTATTTAAATAGAATGTTCAGTTATGCATATACAAAGTTGATTAATAACAATAATTAAAAAACTTTAATATTTTTAAAACCTTTTTCAAATACATGGGGTACGATGATTGAATTAAAAAAAAACAAAAAACAGGTTTCATCAACAAGTTTCAACAAGTGAGCGAGCTTCACAATGACTATCAAATTCTGAATGAATGCACGTGATGGGGGCGGGACATTAGAGGCTTCTCAGCAGATCAGCCACACATTTTATTGCATTCATGGGAGTGTTTCCTGTGTTTCGAATTGGAGTAAAAACAACATATTATTTTACAGTGTTGTTTATGGTGAGGAGGGACACACTTTGCATCCCTCTTGGGACAACAGCTCCTTCTTGAAAATGAGATCCAGATCTCAACGGGGTTTACCTGGTTAAATGAAGGAAATAAAAAAAAAAAACTGTGTTTGAGTAATTATTATGGTTGAACACACATGAAATACAGTTCTTCCTTATACAAAGGTATAAGGAAGAACAAAGAAAATTCAGTAAATATAGTTTTATGAAATGTTTGTTTAAAGTTAATGTTTGCAGCCAAAGTGACAAGTTCAGCTGTTTCTCAAGATGACAATACAAATACAAATAATATTTGTTATTGAAATGCTAAATTGACATCACAGTGTGTTCAAAAAGTATGTGTAGGAATTTGGTTTAAAAAGCATCATCACTGATAGCTCACAAAGTAGTTCAAGAATTAATTTAGCTAGATTTAAGTTGTAATAGCCTTAAGTTAATAAACACATTTTAGCTTGAAGAATATTACATGAAGAAAATAATTTATTACAAAAACATTATTGCCCACACTGCTAGACTGATGACTTGTCTGTTGTCTAGCAGGCAGTAATTGGTACCCCCCAGAAAAATGTAATTAAAGAGGGCTTTTCACATAATTCTGCATGGAAAGTAGAGTGGAAAAACTAAAAACTGCAATCTACACAAACACCACTGTACATTATGTCACAAAAATAAATGGGATGAAGCACTGATTCACTAGCCTGTATAAAATTATTAGCATGTCTAATTTGCCTTCTGTTGTCCACAATGAAAAAATTGCCTACATTTGATTGAGCCACTTATTACACGAGTACAAACATAATGTGTTGTAAGAGGATCAACAATTTACTTTAATTTAGAAAAAAAAAAACAAAGTTAAAATGCTCAAATTTAAGAGAGCCACAAACATTTCTCTGGATTCTTCATCATATCAGTTGGTTTGAACATAAGTTCATATTGAAACTGATTTTAGAGCTGCTGCTTTTTTATTCAACAGTCTTTAGAAAGCTAGAAGATTTGCTGAGTCATGCTGACAAATCCACCCCAAAGGTATTTTCACGTTGGAATGCCAACCATGCTCTGTGATGCAGCCAGTACTTGCGCAACCTTTCCTGCATGTCAGGTAGATGGTTTGTGTTGCCAAATAAAAACTCATCTTTACAGCAGCCCTTAACACACTGCCTTCATCAGAGACATACTGCAATGTCAATAAAGTAATTCACTAAAAGCTATGTGTGTTTCAAAGAATACAAAGCATTTTTTTAAGTAAGGGTAAGTAGATTATTTAATAAATGAAGAAAGGACACAAGTTTGAAAACAGTGGTAGCTCAATTAAGTGGCTAGCAAAAGCAAGTTGAACAACTTGCTGTGCATATCATCATATAAAACATGAAACTAAGAACTGTTCCAAGTAAAGCACATAATATAAGTATACACACAGCAGAGATTCAAAACTATTTCAGAAAATGAAGGTGACTTTCACAAATAGCCTGGTACATACTTGCATATAATCAGTCCTGAAAATACCTCAGGAACTAATTAATGTTTGCCACTAAAACGGGCTACATTGTGTTTAACAATCTACATCACAGTTTATAAATATAAAACTCACTTGATTTTTTTGTATCATTAATATCTCATTGGAAAAATATATGAAGAAAATACAGATAAATAAAAAAGAAAATGGTTACGGTACAATACAGAGAATCTAAATAAAAAAAATCTGCATTTTTATTCATTTGTATTTATAACAAAAACATGAATTGTTCTTGTGACAGTGTGCAAACATCTGTTAAAGCTGTTGTCAGGAGAGGTGTACATTTTACAGAAAAAAAACCCAAAAAATCCAAATTAAAAGGATTTAATGTGGAAATGCTTTTAATTTGGCTAAAGCCAAAAATGCAACATAAAGGTATAGCTGACTTTCAACAGGACAATGATAAATAAATACGAAAGCCAGAACCTTCTGTTTGTGGTCATTACTAGAGTCAGATTTATCCTGGTCATATATACTGTCAAATTCGCCTGCAACTAATTTTGTTTCAGTGTAGTATATAAAACATTAGAAAAAAAATACATCAGTGTTGTCATAATTCTCACCAACACCCACCCCAGGTACGTTTGGAGTGGCAAACATTTTCTTTAGAATGGTACACCATCAGTTGGTTTTTAGTCATCTGTTAGCCTCCGAATATACATCTATAAATGTGAGAGTATTAAAGACACAAAAAAACTCATTGTAAGAGTCTCTGTTCAGTTGTGTTTTCCAGTGTTCTACCGTTCTTTAGGGGCCCTGATGTAATCGTTGTACATTGAATACAGGACTCCTAAAAGAGAGAAAAAAGCAAGAAAAAAGTGAATACATTCTAATGTAAATGAGATGAAAGATATCAATAATATAAAAGCAACCAAGATAGGAAACAAGATAATAAATGATACATACCTACTGTCATGGCTCCAACCACAAAGCCCTGTGCAGCTACACGCATGTGAATCAAGTGCACTGACATTTTTGTGTCCCCTCGATTTTTCATTTTGTACAGCTGGCGTGCAACGATGCCAACAAATCCAGCCAATCCTGCAAAACAACGAGGGATTATATAAAGCTCAATTTCAAAACTGCATACTGCAACTACAAACATGAAACTTCATAATTCAACATGGAGTTATTTACTCTATTACCATGGAACAAAACATACTCACCCAATGGAACAAAGGGATTCTCCTTCACTTTCCTCATTAACTTTGAATCATTTCCTTCTTCGTAAGAGGACATCTTGACTATGGAGCACACAAAATTGCTGATTTTTAAAACATTTTCACAGTAATTTTCAGAACTTTGACAATTCAGTCAGTCCAGAAAAAAAGCTTATTATACAGTTGGTTTACTGAATCTTATCTCTCCATATTTTTAACACATTCTAAAGTTACAGTCTTACTGGTTTTAATTTACTTTGGCTGATCACGACCTGATAGAAGGTGACATGAAGGACAAGAAAGATACATTTATAAAGTACGAAATAATTTAATTTATAGATCGTTATAGCAGACGTAAGTTTTTGTTTTGTATTTCTGTTCAAAAACGAACGTTGCTTTAGTCTTTTGAAACAGTCGGAACGTTAATTCAGGGCCTAAGCAGCCAGGGAAACATGAAACAATAAAAACAAAACGTTCATAATCGGCTGTTTACCAACTGACGTCATAGTTTTAATGTAGAGAGGGGAAAAAGATTTTACCTGCTTTGGAGAAGCTTTGCAAAGTGACTATCTGATGAGCTTCGTGAGAGCTTCTTCGGACCACAGTTTTCACGGAAGTAATATTTGTAACACCGCACCGGCAAGGCTCTGATATAACTGTCTCTGACGCCGGGCTGACGTCACGCTCCCACGTGGTTAGTTCAATATTAGAACGAAAAACACGTAGGTACAACTACCGCAGTTCGAGTTGATGGCAATTTTATGATATAACAAGTTCAGCTTATACTAAACGTACGTAGAAAATAAAAAATAAAAAACTAATAGCGCTGCCGTCTTATAAAAGCATTTGAAAGTCTTGCTAATTTAATCGTACCCTATTTTGATTTGTAATGTAATGTGTAACTTAATTTAAAATAGTAGTATGCATTAATATTTTTCCGAATGTGACAAAAATTACATTTACTCGATTCCAGTAGACAGTTATGGACATAGACGTAATACAGAGTGAAAATGCGCCAAAAGTACAGGTAATTCCGTGATGTCTTTAAAGCAACACTAGCTTACGTGCTCGGACAGCGAATGGCTCCACCCCCGACAGAATTTTAGTAGCGTCATAGTGCTTCCCAGCCCTGCACGTGTGATCTTCCTTCTAGGACATAATGTGGAATAGTGAAAGCAATTGTTTTTTTTTTTTTTGCTTTTTTCTTATGACCTAAATTTGCTGACACTGTAAAAATATGATGTGACCAATCAATTGCAAATAGTTGCAAGAAATGAATATTTTACTGCAGCAACAACGATATTTTCATATGACAAACAAACAAATTTGACCAAAATACTGTATTTTGTTCCTTATTCTTATTGTCTGCATTTTAAAAGAAACTAGAATCTTTTTGTTCAGAGTCGTGCCCATGTGCAGTAAAGAGCTATGGCCACTCTGGAGGAGCTGCCAATATCTGCAGGTCCTGGTAAAATGATCTGTTGATAGAACAACTGTTGTTGTTTGAGAGAAGACATCAAAAAACAGATCTGAACCCTAATGACCATGTGGCATTTCCTTTATGTAATTACAAGCTCAGAGCTGAGGGATCAAGAACCAGATGTACCAGATGTACTGTCAGCCTTAATATGAATTGAGGCTCAGAGGTGAAAGAGAAATTACCAAATCTCCCTAACTTTCACAAAGAACAGTTAAATAGATATTTCCCTTTGTTTCAACTTTTCTTTGTAAAATGTTGTTCTCTCATTTATGCATTTATCTCACGTTATTATCTCACATTCATAATTTTTTATCACCTAAAATTATAATTATCAAGTACAAAAAGCTGACCTATCACACTTAGATTTTTACATGGCCTTCTTAAAAGAGACAAACATCTCAGAGCCTAACCTTGTTCAAAATAAAATCCAAACTGTAGTCAAACGGTGTAAACATTGAGGCGACAATATTCAAAAAGGATCACGGCTCCACTTAGTGGTCTATTACTGAAAGTGCACTAAATTGAATGCAGTGCAAGTTCAAATTTATATGAAATACAGTACATTGCATCCTTTGCAAGTTGGTTGTGTTATCTTTACAATCTCGAACGTCGTTATTGGGATTTAATGTAGTAGACCAGAACAACAGTAGTGAATAAATATGAAGTGAAAGGGGAAAAATACACATTTGGGCTGCAGAGTGGCACAGCTTGTAGCACTGTTGCCTTGCAACAAGTAAATCCTTGGTTCGATTCCAGACTTGGGGTCTTTCTGCATGTTATTCCTGCATGGGGTCTCTCTGGGTACTCCAGATTCCTTCCACAGCCCAAAAACATGCCTTTTGCCTGATATATTACACAGTTTTAAACATTTTCAGCTAATATAGATTTTTGAGGACTGGTTTTTAAGGATCTTTGTAAAATGATATCCAAACAACTGCATTCAGAACACCAACTGTATTTACTGATAGTCAAATTGACATCTGCATAAAAAAAAGGTTGTTCTGTTATTTAATTATATATATCTATATGTATAGATAGATATAGATATATATGAAAACCAGTAGGTGGCACTATAGGTCTGCTGATCTGCTGATCAAAACACAAGGGCAGCTGGGTCCTCCTTCTTAGTGTAGTATACTTTGCAGGCGCCATTGGCTTTTAGTATCACAGCATTTTCTTATTTTTAAAGATCAAGATAAAATGATGGCCTATTTAGAACATACAGCATTTTCACCAGTTTTCTGTCCAGCTATTTACCCGAGACTGTAAATGTTTTTGATGAAAAACAATCCTCCCATTTGTAACCTCTCTCTAACACATTTCACAACTTTCTGTCTGTCATTTTGGACTGCATTGCTAACAGACAAACAAAACACAGAATTAGACATGCTTCTGCTGCAGTCTAAAGTACACATTGCTCTCTCATGCAATAAAGATCGCATCATCGTTGCAATTTAGTTCATGGCCATCATGATAGCATGAAATACATTTCCCTCATGGACCCAGCAAAACCAGTATTACCGTTTGCATGTTCAACTGCATAAAGATTAATCTTGAACAGATGATAGGGTTGTGAGCAAAATGAAGGTCAGTGGACTGTTTCATCAGTAGTTCAAGGTCTAAATGTTTTCAAGGTTTTCTGTTGAGTTTACTTTGTAACCAGAACATGTAGTATAATTATAAGAGAGTACTAATATAACAATGAGGTCACTTGATTGGCTGTTTTTTTAAAGTATGCACTCAATACATGCTGAAAAATGAAATAAAAAATAAAATGAAATTCAAATAGAATAAAAAATTATCTCCTGGTTTGGTTTGAAAATTAACATTTTCTAACCAGAACAATTAAGTTATTATTTTTTTGATTACTGTTACTTCATTTATTCCTTTCAAATGCGATTGAAGCTTTTTCCAGTCAGTGTCCTAGAAAAAATTTCACAATTTCAACACTTTCTTTCCAGGCTTCTGTAATTTTTTTGAAACTTTCCAGGCTTCTGTAATTTTTTTGAAACTTTTCTCTGCAGGGTAAAGATGAAATAGGCAATCTTAAAAGTTCAGACATCAACTCCAGTCTCAATATCTTTTGAAATTTTATGCTGGTTTTACAATTGATTTCACATACTGTTTCCTGACAATTTCAGTGTAACTTGCATTGTTCCAGCTGATTGGTGTCACACTCCATCAGTCAGCTTCTCTTAGATGGTCTTCTTATCCACATTAAGACATGAAGGTAATTTGTTGCTGTGGCATCAAACCCATTGAGAAGCATTTCTCACAATAAACAACAAACAACTGTAATTATTGATGTTCAATTCAGAAATTTGTGCTTTTGTAAATTTATTCCACTTTATTGCTTTCCCCTCCCCCCATTTGCATGTTCTTGTTCTGTGGGACAATCCAGGCATAATATGGGAAAACATGCAAATTCCACACAGAAAGGTTCCATATGATACTCTGTTTTATAAGATGTCTGTTAAGTTGACCACCTCTTTATTACTCTGCTTCATTTGATTTCCATCTGCTTCTTTTTATCTTTTTGTCATATGGAGTTTGTTTAGTTTATTTGAAGTTTAACACTGACATTCCACCCAAAAAATGAATGTCTCCATTTCAGACTCTAACAACAAAATAAGAACACTTGTTACATACTTTTTTAAAAAAGTGATTTGAGTCACTTTATTTTTGGATATTCTTAATACTTTTTCTACTTTTTCATCTATGACTAGATCATAACTCATTCTCTGTCATTTTGAGATAACAGTTAACTTGCACTTTTTAACATTCTAGTTAATTGGTAGATGTATGCTCTTATATAGTATGACATTGGCTGACATGTCACTATAGAGGAAGTCATTTTTCCAGAAGCAGCATAACACACGGATTTCAGCTTGCAGATGTGCTTCGCTGCAGTTTTTCGGATTTTGGAAAAAAAAAAAAAAAAGCTGTTTCAGTTTCCGTGATGCAATTTCAACAGTGTTTGGCTATGAAAACCACTGAACATTTGGAGCAAAAAAGGGAAATATTACAAGCCTGAAACTATTCAGAATGTTAAGTACTGGGGTGAAAGTCCTGTGAGACAAAGTTCCAAATACAATTTCTTTATTTGCAGAAAAGAATGAAAATAAACTTGAATCTAGATCAAACTTGAGGTGAATATTTTTGTCGCTCTTTTTCTGCTGAGGGATTTTATCTCCTTTCCTGGAAATCTGCAACCCATTTTTTGCAGATGGGAGGAGCAACATGGTGCTTATTACTCTGAACCAGGACTTCATTTCAACACCACTCTGTGGCTGCCAACAGAAACAGTCATGGGTCTGTTGCTGCCTGTCCTCTTCAGCTGCTTGGTTGCTCTGCTTGGAGGGCTGTACCTTCTCGGAGTTTTCCGAAAGAGGCGCCCAGGAGAACCCCCTCTTGACAAAGGTCTCATTCCGTGGCTGGGCCATGTCTTGGAGTTTCGCAGAGACAGTTTTAAGTTTCTGGAGAGAATGAAGAAAAAGCATGGTGATGTTTTTACGGTGCAGCTTGGAGGATATTACTTTACATTTCTGCAGGACCCCCTCTCCTTTGGGGCTTTTGTTAAGGAGAGTCGAGAGAAGCTGGACTTTAATAGTTTCGCCGTGCAGCTTGTTAACAGGGTTTTTGGCTACAAAGCTATCCAGAATGATCACCAAGTCCTGCAAAATGCCAGCAATAAGCACTTGAAAGGGGAAGGGCTGGAAATAATGACACAAGCCATGATGAGCAACTTGCAAAACCTTATGCTGCACAGTGTGGGCTCAAGCACAGGTCAAAATCCTTGGAAAGAAGATGGACTGTTCATCTACAGCTACAACATTGTTTTCCGAGCAGGTTATTTGGCTTTATTTGGAAATGTGCCACACAAGTCTGAGGGAGGTGAGGAGAAAGCCAAAAAGAAGGACAGAACTCATTCAGAAGCTCTGTTTTATGAATTTCGTAAATACGACCAGCTCTTCCCCAATTTAGCATATGGAGTCCTTCCTCCAAAGCAGAAGTGGGAAGCTGACAGACTGCAGTCCTACTTCTGGGATGCTGTCTCTGTGCAGAGCATGAAGGCCAAGGACAACATCAGTCGCTGGGTGTGGGACATGGAGCAGTCCAAGGAAGAAGTGGGCATGGACGAGTCAATGATCAACAGGTATATGTTTGTGCTTCTCTGGGCCTCTCAGGGCAACACTGGACCCTCT